TCTATCCCCCCTCCCTTGAATGGGCCCCCTGCCCCCCCCTGGGGGAGCTCCAGACTCTGGCTGCAGCTGCCAACAGCTGGCAGCCATCCTCAAAAGCCAGCCCCACTCCCTGTTCTCTGGCCAGCAGCAGTGTAACCAGTGCAGGGACAGCACGTGGCAGTACTCTCCTTGCTGCCTCTGCCTCTCTGGGCTATGGCTGCTCCAGCCCCTGCCCTGGCAGTGACAACCAGCACCCTGGGCTCCTACAGGCCACTGATCTGGCCCTGCTGGCCCACAGTACCAACTGACCATCTGGTTCTGCCCACCTCCCTCATGTGCAACATACACTTGCCCGGCTACTGTGTGCACGTGCTGCCTCAATCCCATCTGCCTGGCCAGACCCTAGCAGGGACACTGCCAGCAGGCTCTGCAATGCCGTTGCTGGGGCTGCTATCACCTTCCTTGGCTTCCAGCCCCATCACCTCTGGGCCTGCCAGGCCAACGAGGGTTGGTGGTGGCATTGTCCAGCACACCTGGAAGAATTAACAGTGGCTGGAGGCCTTCAGGATGCCCCAGGCTACCTTCTGGGGATCTTCTGGAACAGCTCTGGCCCTACCTGGAGCATCAGGACACTGTCATGCTGCCACCCCCCACCATAGACACCTGGCTGACCCTCAGCCTTCTCAAGCTAGTCAAGCCCAGCAGCCTGCAGCACATCAGCCATCTGTTTGGCATGGGCAAGGCCTCCACTAGGAAGGCCATCCTGGAGGTGTGTGGTGCCCTCTAGGACATGCTGGGGGACACCGTGCTCCACGTGCATCAGGGCCCTGGACAGGACACACATCCTCATCACCTGCCTGCCCCACAGCAACCAGCCTTACTACAGCTGGAGAGGCCTTTACTCCATAGTGCTCCAGGCTGTTGTGGACTACTGCGGGGCCTTCCCTCGTGAGCACCAGCTGGGTGGGCAGCACCCATGATGCCTGCATGTTTAGGAACTCTGGCCTGCTGGGTCTGGTGGAGAGTGGACGCTTTGTGCTGGGGATGCTGGACCTGCAGCTGGGTGCCGTGATCATCCTGCCTCTCCTCATCAGGGACCCCACCTACCCTCTCCTGCCCTGACTCATGCAGCCCTACACCAGCCACCTGGACCCCCGCCAGGCCCACTTTAACTGCTGCCTAAGCCAGACCCATGCTCTGGTGGAGTTTTCCTTCAGCCACCTCAAGAGACGCTGGCACAACCTCATTGCCCACCTTGAGTTCACTGAGGACAACATCCCCAGGTTATCATCAAAGCCTGTGTGCTCCATAACATTGGTGAGGCCCTGGGGGAGCTCTTCCACAAGGCCTGGGCAGAGGAGATATGGCATGTGGAGGACACTTGGCAGTGGGAGCACCACCTGTGGTGGCTACAGCAGCAGTGCCGCCTCCTCCTCCAAGGTCCCAGGAGAACTGTGCACCCACCAGTGGGGACCAGGGCACTGGGTGTGGGAGATGCTGGCTGACCACCTCTTCCAGCACTCCCCACTATAGACTGCATGCAACACCACTCAAGGACTTCCCACCCCCCTGCCCACCCCCAGCAACACACTCACTGCAGACATGTTGCACAAGAACAAGTTTTTCCCTGACATCAACCAGAGTCCCCTTCCCTCCCCGAGAAACAGAGCCCCTCCACCACGCACCCCACCAACCAACAATAAAACACCTCCCCTGTGAAAAATATGTACAAAGTCCTTTGTGTGCTATTCTGGAGTGGGGGGCTGTGGGATGAGGGCACCTAGGGAGCAAAGCCCAGGGACAGGTGGGAAGCACCTCAGCCTCTGGCTGTTCCCCTTTGGGCATGCGCACTGCAATGAGTTTGGCATGCAGGGGACTCACCATGGGATGACAACAGCTGATGCTCCCCCAGTGCTGCAGGCTCCCCCTCTGGCAACTGGTGTCCAGGGCCAGCAGGGCTGGCATAAAGTCCTGGCCCCACTGCAGGCAGCATCCTGCCAAGGTGAGCAGTGGGACTGGGCCCAGGTGGGGATGCCAAGTGGCGCTGAACCTTGGGCAGGGTCCAAGGCAGAAGCTCCTGGCTGCTGGAGGTGGAACAGGACCTTTTCCCAGGCCCAGGTCGGACTCTGGTGCTGGCCAGAGGGTGGCTGCAAGGGGGCAGGTGGGGCTAGGTTCAGGGGCTAGGCAGTGGGCAGTACAAAGGCAACAACCAGGGCCTCTACTGCTAAGGCCAGGATGCTCTTGCAGTGCATCTACCCTCTCATGCTCCAGGGCCAGGAGCTGCACCCGGAACTCCCTGTCCTCCTGGTCCTGCATCTTCTGGTGCTAGTCCTGCACATCCTCTTGGGTGACATCCTCCACCCACCTCCTGTCCTGGGGCCATGTCCTTCACCCACCAGGCCCAAGCATCCACCAGCTGATCATCCAATGCCATGATAAGGGTCCAGGATGAGGGTCCTATCCAAGGTCCTCCTATGTCAGAGCCAATGCATCCATAGGGCCCCAACTGTGGATGCCAG